CCTTCTTTCTAGTCTGTCTTAATCTGGAAGCTCCCTTGAAACCTGTCCACTATGGGTGACCCTGAAATACCAGTCGCATGGTTTCCATCATCACAGCAACATATTAGCCACCAAAGTATGACAAACTGACAGATAAGTGGTGTTTGGTATTAGGATGCATAAATGTTCCACAGAAAAAACTCCTTGAGTTCAACTCTTACCTGGTTGTCTAACTCTACTGAGCCTCATCAGCCATTGTCATTTATTCTTTCCAATATTGAGCATAACAGAGGAGCTCTGGTAGCATAGTGCCTAAGGCACTTGCCTGCTAACCAGAAGGCTGGCGGTTCAAACCCACCAGCCACTCCTTGGAAGGAAGATGGGACAATCTACTTCTGTAGTGATACTGCCTCAGAAACCCAAAGAGGGGTCGCTATGAATTGGGTCTGACTTGATGGCACATAACAACAACAACAACAACAACCACCACAGAAAAGGGGAGGAGCTCTGGTAGTATAATGCCTAAAGCATCTGACTACTATCCAGAAGGCTGGCGGTTCAAACTCATCAGCCACTCCTTGGAAGGAAGATTGGGCAATCTACTTCCGTAGTGATACTGCCTCAGAAACCCAAAGATAGGTCGCTATGAGTCGTATCCGACTCAATAGCAAATAACAACACCACCACCACAGAAAAGACATTGGGACAGGAGCTAGAGTGGAAGAGGCTAACTACTCAGAATCTAGAGGAAGGAAAGGACTCCACGTCTTGCCACCATCTCCTAAGGCTTGAGGTCTTTCCTGGGGGGCTTCTAAGGGGAGGCTATTTCTAAGGGGAGGAGACACAATCATGGGGATGGTGCAGGACTGGGCAGTATTTCCTTCCATTGTGTGTGAGGTCACCATGAACCCTGGGCAACTGGACAACAGCTAACAGCAGCAAGTGCAGGAGGTGGGAAGAGATGTTGATGTAGATTTCTTAGCACATTTCACACAAGTAGTGTGGTTAATACAGTCATCATGAACACCTGGTAAGGAGCAGAGAGTTGAGGAAATGAAACAGGCAAATAAGGAACTGACAAAAATACAGAAACATTTTGAAGGGGGAGAAATTCCTTATTCATTAAAACAATAATGTTAAGACATCTTAAAGCCAAGTGGGGCTTGCAATCCAGTCTCTGCACAGTTTATAGTTTCTAGCTGGCCCTTTCACATGGAAAAGGACTTAGTGGTTCAAAGAATTCTAGGCCAGAGGAAAGGGCTGAAATATAATCCCAATACTGCTGCTAGTTTAGTGTATGAGTTCAGGTGAATTATTCAACCTCAGAAATGGAGAAAGTGATGTGATATTCACGATATGTTTTTGGTGGCGTTTCCAGTAAAATAATTATGACAAACAATGGATAAGTAATGTGCATAAGTGAACACTTTTGCTTTCTTCTCTGGGTCAGAAGAGTTGACACAGGCTCACAGTTTGACATATGGCATAAAACCCTTGGAAATCTGAGACTTTCTGGAGTTAATTAAGAAAAGCAATAAAAATAACCATACCTCTTATTTGCATAGTACTCTTTGATTTACAAACCATTTTCAGATATAGCTGATCCTTAAAGCACCCTGGGAAGTGGAATTTGTGTCTCCATTTTAGAGATGACAAAGCTTAGGTCACACAATTTATGTCATCCAGACAAAGGTGCTTTTTTTTTAAAAAAAAAAAAAAAACCCTAAAAACTTGCCTCAGGTATCCAGAAAATAATTTTGTTCACTTCAGTTATTGGTGATGAGTGACCATCACAAACGCCAACACCAGTGCCAGACAACCAAACCACAACCTTCTTTTCTTAGGGACATCTCCTACCCCTGCTCAGACTTCAAACTCAGAGTCATCAACACAGCCAGAAACTCCAAACAACCCACATCAGTAAGAGATTATCTAGATGTTTGTTGTACAACAATGTCTGGGAGTCATTTGGAATGGATTGCCTTGGATAAATAAAGTTGTTTGTGTTGGTTTGGGGGACAGCCAGCTAAGATTCAACTATTTTTTGTTGTTGTTGTTGGTTTTGTGAAGGTAGGAAGGCTGTGAAAACAGGAGTTTAGAGAATCAGTATGAGAAAATAATAACCATTTTAAAACTTTAGGCATATAACCAGTTCCTGTCCATTAACAGCAAACTAATTGACACTACCTTCTCTTTTTGGGGGTGGAAGTGGAGGTGCTGGTAGGGCGATGTTCCCCTGTGGACAAAGTGAGTTCCCTTCCCCAAGTGTCTCTTCTCCCTGCAAGAGGCACACTGAATTTGAGGCCTCTTTAATAGGCAAGGTTCTAGGTGCAGGATAGTGGGTTCGGTTCAGCCCAATTTGGGGCTTTGGGAGAACACTGATAGACCTGCCAATGTAATTCCGGCAAACTTGGAATGTAGCAGGAGCTCTGGTGGTGCAGTGGTTAAAGCATTCGGCCGCTAAACAAAAGGTCGGTTCGAATCCCCCAGGGCTCAGTGGGAGAGAAGATGAAACAATCTGCTTCCCTGAAGACTGAGAGCCTTGGAAACCCTACGGGGTGGTTGTACTGTGTCCTATAGTGTTGCTATGAATGGAATTGACTCGATGGCAGTGAGTTTTTCTGGGTTTGGAATGTATCTAGTTTTTCTAACCCTTTCCCCAGCTTGGTATTTCTCTGATTGGGTTAGCTGGAAGCATCTGGGGTCCTCCTGTCCCAAGGCCTGTAAGGCTCCAGGTCCTGCCACGTTACTACCACCACGTGGAAGGAACCCTGCTACGGGCACTTATTTGCATCCAAGTGTTTGCACCGAGACAGGTGTTCACGTGCATGAGGTCACACGCACAGCTGGGCACACATGCTGAGACGCCCCAGGGCCAGGAACAGGGAAGGGGGGGGTACCCTGGGTGGAGCCGATGGCATTCTAGAGGGGAAGCATCCCTGCCCCCACGCCAATTCCCTAATAGCTTGGGGTTGGCATTTGTGAGGACAGGCCTCTGCTCTGGCCAGGATCCTTGCCCTGGGACCCTCCACCTCCACCAAACCCTTCCCCCCGACCCATGCTG